GAGAGAGAGAGAGAGAGAGAGAGAGAGAGAGAGAGAGAGAGAGAGAGAGAGAGAGAGATTTTTGACATTGGGATTTGGCGACATTCGGACTCAGACTTGACATTGGGGCCAGAGACATTGTGGGGGACTATTTTTGGATCAGTATCGACGACATTTTGGGTTAGCGGCATTCTCCATATCTTCCCCCTCCGTCTCTCCTCCATCCTTCTCATCTGTGTATGAATGTGTGCCTGGCGCCCTTCGTCCCTTTGTTCGGCGCAAGGCCACTCACACCGTGTGATGATGATGATGGTGATGTTCACATCTGTGACACGACATTGATTGGGTCTGATTGTTGGTATTCCAGTCTTGCGCTGTGCTATCATTGCTCCATCTTTGAGAGGTCGGTCCTTGGTTCTGGTCTGCACCATTTGGCATGTGACACTTTGGTATCAGAGTGACCTCTCAGATGAGGATCTGCCCAATCAAGTTGCCATTTTGATTGATTGATTGATCGATTGATTGATTGATTGATTGATTAATAAATCTCTGCAAATTGCTTTTATTTCTTCATATATTACAAGTTGTCAGTTTTCGGAATCAGCGCTAATTTCTAATTAGCGCCCTAAACCCTAAAACCCTAAACCCTACAGCCTGATTAGTGCTAATCCTGGTTAGCAGAAGTAATTAGCAATTAGCGCATTACCACTAACCCAGATTCGTAGCGCTAATCAGCACTTAACCCTAATCAGGATTAGCAAGCGCTTATCCAGGACAAAGGCAGCGCTTTCTGATGCTAATTAGTGTGGATTAGGTTACCTGCTCAACTGGCACTAACCTAACGATACCGTGCTAATCTAACCTAATTACCAGATTAGCACTTTGCCCGAATCCCAATTATCGGCAATAGCACTAGTCGGGCCAAGTAGGGTTAAGTACGCGAAACCAAGAGCTGCCATATCGGCCATATCACTACGCCAGCAAATGCCACATCAGCAAGTATCACCTCAGCAGTGCCACATCAGCAAGTGCCTCGTCCGCAGTGCCAAGTCAGCAAGTGCCACATGCCACGTCAGCAGCCTGAATGATCGGGCGCAGCACAAGAATCGCTGCTCAGCAATAGGCTGCGCCCGAGAGAAGGTTAACGGAGACCCTAATTTTCAGACCACTTGCCATGCCATTTATATGAAAATCAAAGGGTCATTTTAATCAAACTTGCCACCAATTCGTAGAGTGGAGACCATACTAACTAACTGCAAAAAAAAATAAAACACATATAAAACAGCCAGGCAAAAGTGCATTTTCATGAAATTTCGCCAACATCTCAATTTTAGAAATCTTGAGAAATTTCAGAAATCTTAACAGAGGAAATTCCAATTCTCCAACTGACACAAAATTTGGCACACACCAACCTTGAACCAAAACAAGAATAGGCAGAAAAAAAAACACAAAAAAAAAACATAAAATTTGACCCCGAAACCCTAATTTCAGTTTTGTACTCGTTACCCAGGGCCTGAAACTGGGGGTCCCCGTTAACCATTTGTGGACATCTCGGACTTTGCAGCCTGCGTCCTCACCTTCAGCAAATTGGTAGCCGAAGAGGAGCAGCGACAGGCTGAGGCTGCAGCCGAATTACTACGGCAACAGCAAGAAGCCGAAGCTCAGCGCCGGCCGCAGGAGGAAGCAGCTAAGCAGTTCACCACCTCCGACAGGACGCCTCGACAAGCTTGCAGAAGCAAGAGATGGAGTACGCAGCCAAGTTGCGCAGCTGGCATTTCACCCCGATGAACGGTCACAGCCAACCGTCGGATGAAGAGAAAACAAAGGAGGACATCTCCAAGCTCATCGCCAAGCTCATGCTGACCTGCAATTGGCAACAGCAAGAGTTGCAGCGGCTCGAGCGCATCATCAACGAAACTCGAGACACGCAAAGTCATACGAATCGCAGTTTCAATGCGCGCCTCGACCACTTGGAACAGGATGGCGCCGCTTCAGCAAGTGTCGGACCAAGTAACAGCCGGTCGTCAACGCGAGAGCTGGAGGAATGGATTGACCATGTAGTCGCCACAATCGGTGACCTTGGCACGTTCACGAGACCTGCAACGATCAGCCAACAGCTCACGATGTTGAAGGCCAACGTCCGCACACTGCAGCAGCACCCACCTGGAGCACCCGTGGCCGTCTAAGATGCCGAACTTGAACATAGAGAAGTTCAACGACTACCACAAGCGAGACCCACTCGCTTGGTTACAAGGCTTCACTACCGCCATCGGCATCCACCATGTGCCCGACCACTTGAGGATAGCAGCACTCTACCTCAACATGACCGGCGCATGCCAAGTTTGGCTTAACCACTTGGCCACACACGAGGAGGTAACCATGGCGAACCTGCACACCAAGATTCCATGGGACTGCAATGAATTGCAGTGCTACAAGCAGGCTGTATACTAGTTTTGTCCCTGTCGTCGTTGCCGGGATTTGATCCCGCAACCTTGGTTGTTGTATTGCCTGTTTGTTTGTTATTTGTGTGTTTTGAACCTTGCGGGACTTGATCCCGTGACCTGTAACCTGTGTGTTTTGAACCTTGCGGGACTTGATCCCGTGACCTGTAACCTGTGTGCTTTGTTTGTGAGTGTTGTGCCGTATGGGGCTTGATCCCTGTGTCTGTCACTAGTAGTGTCTGTTTGGTAGTCCTAGGCCATTCGGCCTGTTTCCTTTCCTTTGTCATTGGTCTAGGCCCCTCTTCCCCTGTTTCCATCTAGATACAGATAGGTCGTAGGTTGTT